CTCATGAAAAGCGTCTTTTCCAGTAGAACTGAGTTGATTTGAATTATAAAGTAAATTTTTCATTACAGACAAAGATTTATGTTACATATTCAGCTCCCTTAAGAAATGGTTTGCCCATATTCTGATGGAGATAATCCCCTGCAGCTGGTGATTCATGCTGAGATTGCTCAAGCAAGTGTTTGATGCAAGATTTACATTTGCAGTAGAGTGCCTACATTGTATGAAGGGACTCTTGCAGAAAAATTGATTTATTTTTCCTTTATAAGCAATCAGCAGTGTTCCAAGTGGTGAGGCAATGCTGGGAGTCAGGTACCAGCATGAAAATCTTCTGATCCATACAGCAGCCTCCTGTTTGCTTCATTTTTTTAATGAGGAGGAGGAAATAAAGTGGAAATGTTGAGCAAAAACAACCAAATACTGACCCCATACCTATTATTGCATTTATTTTGCAGTTATTTTTCTGTCTTGGAGTAGGACAACAGGAGAACTTTGCCTGTTTATATTTCTATGATTGTTTAGGAGGGAAAGCAGAGACTCTTCTTGCCCCAGTGGTGCTTGCTTTCATAGCCATCTTCCTGTTTGGCCAGAAACACTGAAATAATTAAATCAGCACCACTAATTGCTGCAGCTTCATTTTCAATCTTCCAGTATTTAATGGTTTTATTTGATACTTCAGAAAAAAAAAAATTATTAATCCAAGAGCACCTTAAGAGCTCAGAGTTACAGTGAAACTAAAAATGTCTTCATTTATTATTTCCTAGCTAAATTGCATAATTTGTGATATTTACAAAATATAACAATTATAACTATATTATATATAGTTATTTATTATATATTTAATTCTTAATTATATAGTGTATATAAATATTACAATTTTGAAAAAGACTCTGTTCTAGATATCTAGATGAGAGAACTTTTTTATAATTTAAATATGAAATGGTCTGCCCTCAAAGACACTTTGCAGATTCCAGTTTTGTGATTCACTGGTGAAGAGAGTTATTTTCAACCTTTCCCATGATCTCAGTGTCATGGGATTTTTCTTCTCTGGGAGCCATGATGACACAAATAACATTAGCAATAATAAATGGTTTATCCATATTGAATTTGTGATAAGAAATCAACTCATGACTCCTGATAATTGCTTGGTGGGCAGGAGGTTTTGTTTCCAGCTGCCAGTACAAACCCAGCTGTTAACAGCTGGGGAAGGCTGCTTAGACTCAACCAGATGTCAGCAGAACTGCCATTTATTTACACCTTTTTCTTGTGCTTCCTGTGTAATTTGTCAAATTACATACTCTCTCTGTTTCAGATAGTATCTGTAAAATGGGATCCTTTAGATTTCCTTCTATTTGACTATAAGCAGGTTGTTACAGTTCGTGTCATCTCTGCCCTTGTAGCTCAGCACTTCACAAAGGAAAATAATAGGAGTGAAAATGAATATTGAGTGTTTATCACAAGAGGAGCTTGATTTTAAAGCCTGTAAATGTATTCATGTATCTGCATATAATGAATAAAGTTATTAATAAAGTGATAAAACTTTCAAATTATGAGGAGGCTTATCCAGTGTGCAAATTCCTGATACTGCAGGTGGGGTTACCACATCTAGCTGGTGATTTCTCAGCTACTTAATGCACACAGAAAGAGAAATCCCTATCCCTCCAACACATTTCCCCCACTTCAGGCAGACTCTGTTCATTCTGTTTCTGTTTTGTGGTTAAATTAAGGGCATAAATTTCTTGGAACCTTCCATACTAAACTGATACAGAAGAATAAATAACATTTCAAAAGAACAGCAAAGGCAGTACCAGTGTGCCTGAACATTGGGTAATTGTCCATCCTCCTGTATTTTCTCCCCACTCTGGCTCAGTGTCGGAATCTGTGGGTATTGATGATCCCGAGATTGTAGAAAGTCTCTGTCTTTCTGCCCCGTTGCCAAAGAAGAAGCCATAATTCGTCTGTGCTGTTTTCAAGGTTGTTTATTCTGTTTATCTCTAACATGTTCTGCTGCCCTGCCGCAGGTCTGTCCTGCAGGGCAGCGTGTGGGGCTCTGCCCTCAGTGGGATGTTACAAACATTATATACCAGAAACTACCTGTGCTATATTTACAATAACATGCCAATATCTATCATCTACGTTGGACAGTGTGTCCCCAGCCTAAACCAATAGAAAAATGCCAACATCACCAAGAACATGGAGGTAAGGAAGAAGAAGGAGGAAGAACAGGATCAGGTCCACTTTCCTCCATCTTAGAACTCCTGACCCCCCTGTACAAAGTAAAACCCCCCCTGTATAGGTGTTAAAACCCCCTTGTACAATACTAAAAAATTTTTCCCTCTAATTTGTGACTACTTTTACTATACCATCTAACTCTCTGTGACCGCTTGTTCCACCTTTAAAGTTGGTAATTCATTCCATGGTTCAAACTCAAAATCACAGCTGTTTTCTGCTGCTTGCCAGGGTCTAAAATGCTTCTGACCAAGGCCTGGAACCTCTAAAAATGTCTGAGGGACATTTTGAGTTCCGACAGCTCAGTGTGTTTGGTCCAGCTGCTGGAAGAAGATGTTCTGGTGAAGCTGCTGCCTTTGCCACGGCATCAGAGAGAGCTGCAAGGTCACTCTGAACCTCCAGCTTCTTGGTCTGCAACTAAAAACACCATTCTTGTGTTCAGGCTTCTGGGGTAGCGTTATCTCCCTGGAGTTTGGTATCAAATGGCCCTGCCTGTTCCAGCTAGGTCACATACTGTGCTTGGGAGCCACCAGCTTGTGCTAGGTCAGGTTAAGTTCTCACTGTGCCTCATTAATGGCTTGCTTGTGTTGAAAGATTAATGAGGAAAAAGTGGCAGAATATATTAATATTTATGGTGTGTTTTGGCAAAGGAGGTTATAAAATCAATAGAGGAATTTCATCCCAAAATCTGTCATAGCACGTACCTGAAATACAGACACCACACCAGACAGGAATTTTGCATATGTTATTTTCATTTATTTTTACAGCAGGAATAAGTGTCTTAGGGAAGTGTGTTATCTGTCTCTCTATTTTTTACAACGAATATAGTTTTAAGTATAATTAAATTATATTTGTAAGACACTGCAAGGTATATTGTATGAGGACAACATAGAATTGTTTTATATTTTCAAAACTACATTTGTTGTACATACATTTGATTTTTTGTTTAGACAAGGGAAGAGACCCATACCTTACCCATCTACGCTGTTTTGGTTGTTTTGAAATATTTTTTATTGTTTCAATATGTGGCCAAATGAAGTTTAATATTCTTTATGAGATCCAGGAAATTTTTCGACTGAATGATTTAAACAGTATGGTCTAAAGCATCTATAGGTTGAATTAGTAATTTCATTTTGGAGACTGTTCTGGTTCACACTCAGTACGGTCCAAGATGATAAATCCTGTTGCAAAAATGTGTCATGTTTCTAATGTGGGTAAGAATATATGTTTGTAGATTGATTTCAGAGGAGGGCTGTTTCAAATCCTTGCAAATGAGGAGAAAGAGGACAGCTTTCTTGTAACATTGCTTTGCTTTTGTTTTCAACCTCACAGCAATTGGACGCAGAACTGGTATCGTCTCTCAGGCCTCTGTTGCTTTTCTGCCAAGGTCAGCTCTGCAAGCAAACTTCATATTTTACACGTGGCGGTTCCATGCTTCAGTTATTTCTCTGGTGTATTAAAAACAAGTAGGCTCCTCTCCAACGTCAAATGTTCATGTCTTTGCTTTGTTTCTCTGTCTCCTTTTTAACCCTCACATCTGTTGAAGACCTAGAAAGGGGACCCACCCTCTTACCCCATCCTCAACTGCCCCTTCTCCACCTCTGCTGCCCTCAGCAGGAGCTGAAGGTCTGCCTGGGACACATTAGGCTAGGAAGTTGATAAGCAGGAAGATTATTATTGTCACTTTTAATGAAGGGATGGGACCACAGTTAGTCTAAAAGTGATTTATTGCTCAGATAAACATCAGTCTCAGAGGCTGTGAGGTTTAAGAGAGCAAGCAGTTGGCCATAGCACAAAATGGCCACAAGTTCTTGGTTACAAGGCAATATAGAACTTTCTAATCCAATGAACAGTTGCCACAAAGTTTATTTTCTTTTCCTAACCTATCACCTTTACTTACTTCTGCTGCAATGTGGATACTTTTATCCAATGAGCTGCTATCTCACATACACACATATGCTTCTAAACTCTTAGCTACTCTATACAACCACACCCTACATTATAAACCCTTCACCATCTTATCAATGCAGCTTCTCACTTATTTAAGGCATATTCGTACTTATAACTATAGAAACATAAGTTTATAATTTTTCTGCTTAATGTCTGTGTACTTTATTTTTACGTCAATCCAAGCTTCTTCTAAGGCTGCAAATCAAACCTTCCTGTGTCTGTGGAAGTTTCTATCTTTCCATTTTCAACAGAGGAACTCTTTACAGATCCCAAAGTGACCATGAGTAAGGTCAGGGATGCATAAGGATTTGTTCCTCTGAACAGCTGGGGTTTCAGAACTGCTCAGAAGATGGTGGTAACTGTTGTAGGAGAGTGGTAGGATTCTGAGTGGCTTGTCTTAGAGCATCCTTTTGTAGCTACAGTAGTTTATTTTTTACCCCTGTCTCGGGTGTAGGATCCAAATATTAAGTATGTGCTAGTGGGTGTTCAGAATTACCTGGAAATTGCATTGTACCATTCAATTGCAAAGCAAATGTTCTAAACTCTCTAGTTAAGCTTTCATGCTTTAGCTGTTGCACCCTGAGTGCTGTGGGGGTTAAAATTTGGGTTTTTGTCTTGAGTGAGCTTGGGCTTAAGTGTTCACAGCTTTGGGAGGCTAATATATATACCTACACCCACTGATAGCTAATACACATGATCCTCTTATGCTTATAAAATTCCATTAAAGAACCAACTGAAAAAAACACTGTGAGTAAAATTTGCCATAATTTTTAAAATGAAAAAATAAATCTTGATTTGTAAGTGCACATGTTTTTTGCTTCTGTTTTCTCAGGACACCCTGCTGCACAGGGAAGTGTGTGAGCAGTCAGGAAAACTTTCTGACACTGACAGGACTCTGCTGCAGAGGTGATTCCTCAACTTCACTGCTCTGTTCTTACAGTGCCCTAAAAGTACAGATAATATTTCAGTCTGGAAGCCTGATACTTTCTGGCTTTATAACTCTGTGAGCTAAATAACTCCTGTTCTGCTTTATATCTCTAACTTAATGACAAACTTCCTTTTGTAATAGGTGCAGCTGGGACAATGCAGCCCTAGAACCCACAGAATGCAAGAGCTGAGCTAATGAAGTGTTGGCTGCTGGTAAAGAAATTAAAGTATCTGCAGTTCTTCATATGACTCCAAAAGTTGTCTCATTGGTAAAAATGTAATTCTAAATTACTCACTGTTATGACCCATAAAAACATATCTGACAGCCAACTGTTTCTATTCCCAAATATCAATACAGAGTTGCAAATAAAACAAGCCAAAACCAAACCTGAGAATGAGTCCCAACAAGGTGAAATAAAGCATACTAAAATCTATGGAACTTAATGAGAAATCAAAAGCAATTTCTCTGGCATATTCCCACAGTTTAAGATAATGCAAGCAGTAGTGCTGAAATAGTCAGGTGTTATTGCTCTCCTCATGGGACCCAGGGGGAGACCTGTACTTCATTTTTATTCCTATATGGTCAAAACTGCCTATAAGTGAGAAATAATTTAAAATGTGGGTCATTAAAAATCTCATTCCTCTAGTAGAAAATAATAAATCCTCTGAAGAGAAAGGTCTACTGCAATAACTTTAAAGATTTACTATCCTTAAATATCCTAAAGATAGAAATTGATGACTAGAACCAGGATAAGGTCAATATAACATTGTAAACTCAATGAAATACATCAATAAGGATGAAAAATATAAGAAATCACTTGCTGACAAATGATGATAGGGGACTGTAAGCTTTTTATTTCCAATGTATTGTGAAATTCACATAAAAAACTTCAATCTTGCCACCAGTTAATCAACTTCTGTCTTACTTAACTCCAACGCTTAGCCCATAAAGCCTTGTTTAATAGCAGCAATGACATCTTCCTAATATGAAAATAAAACTATGAAAAGATGTTGATAAGAGGAAAGCCTTCCTGTTGAAGAACAGGTCTCCTATTAAAAGAGACTCTCACTCTGTTATAGCTGTTATTCAGAAATATGGGTATTTTTTTTTTTCACTAGAAAAAACACACTTTGAACAATATTTCTGTGCTGGACAACAAAGGAATTTTATTCATACCCAGAGAATCATTCTATACTATGCATTTAATCCTTTATATTCCCTAAGAAGACAGTGACACTCCCATAGATAGAAAAGCTGGAATGGCTGCAGTTAAATTGATGCAATAGTCAGTGAAACCCAAGTCCAAAACAGATTGATACAAATTGATACATTAATAAAAATCCTTTAATTTCCCCCAGATTACTGTGACCTAATTTCTTACACTGCTGGGATATTTAGTAGGATTATAGGTTCTATAAAATAGAACTACGATATTATAGCTACAATAATAATAATAATAATAATAATAATAATACACTGTATAATCAATAATCATATTATTAAGATGCATTATTATTGATGACTTGTCAAAGCTGACCTAGAACAGAGGCTAGATGGAGCTAAAGAATAAAGCAGGGATTTATTAAAAGGCTCTCCTCCATGGATCCACCTTGGGCAGCACCAGAGCCCAGCCAGGGCTGCACCCAAGATGGACCAAAATGGTCCCAAAATGCACGAGCGCTCACAGGGTCTCTCACTGGGATCAGTTCTGCTCCATTTGCACCTTGGAGTTCATTGTCCCATTCCAGCTTTAGCCCAGGCAGTCCCATCCTGCTTGTTTTTCTCTCTCCAGCCCACGTTGTTTGTGCTCCTGGGCCTGAGATTTGGATCATTTGTCCTTGGTCCCCAGCTGGAGAAGGAATTGCTTTGTCTCCCTACTCTGTGCAGAGAGCTCACCATACCCTAATAGGAAGCTCAGAACTGCACACTAAAGCAGCACAGAATCTGAAAAATATAAAAGCTGAAACCTGAGGCATCATTATAGCATGTGATTAAGAAGAATGTGTCATGCATGGTCTTTTTCTCATTATTTTTCTTTTACTCACTCTCAGGTTTTGTAGACATTACATATTCTTTGGTAGAACAGAAATGCTGGAACACACTCAAAGCAAGGTTATGCAGCAGCCAGACTCTGGCAATGGACACACACTGACCACACTCCTAGTTCCATAAAATCAAATGCAAAATGCAAAACAGCAAACGAATTTAATGTACAAATGTTTGAAAAATAAAACTAAACATGAAATGGCTGTAGGGATACAAGGGTGGGGACAAAGCTGGAGGCTTAATGGGAGGAGGTACCTGCTGATCACTAGGAATGATTCCATTTCTCCAGCAGTATATCTGGAGCAGGGTGTCTGGTTTTGGGGCCCTGAACACAAGAGCAGTATGGCCATACAGAAGTGAATCTAGTGAAAGGTCATTAAGATTATTTATTTGGGTGCTGTGATGAACAAAGAGAGTCTGACAAAGCTGGGTTTCTGCAGCCTGAAAAGAGAAAGTCTGGGGGAGACCTTGTTGCTGTCTGTAGCAACCAAAGAAAAGTGTGTGGAGGAGCCAGAGTCAGGAATAGCTCAGAAGTGTACAAGGAAAGGATGGGAAGTGATGGGGTCTCAGGCTGGAACGTGGGAAATTCCAAGCGGGTAAAAGGAAAAATAAAACTACCACAAAGTTAGTCATCACAGGGACACAGACACAGGTAGGTAGTGGAATTCTCTTGGAGATACTGAAAACTCAACTGTAGGAGTCATTTAGCAGCCTGAGCCAAATTCATTTTGCTAGCTCTCATTTATGGTACAACCTCTTTTACTCCAATTCTTGCAGTTTTTCAGGGCTTTAAAATAAGTGTAAACAAATAAGCAAAATACTCATACAAGTAAATGCAGATATTTAAGTACACTGCTATCTGTAGCAGAGTAAACAAGAATCAGGTCCATCAAATCTCAGCTTTGGCCATGAGTGGCCATCAGCTGGAGTCACTGCCCTGGGCAAGCTGCTATCTGGAGGAAAGAGCCCACAGTCTGAGCTGCAGGAGCTTGTATCTGCCTGAAGCAGGAAAGCTCACTCCACTCATGCACAGGAGGGTGTGCCAGTGGCCAATGGGAGTTAACCCCATTAAAGAGAAAATTCGCTCATAACAACACTTTCTTTAAAACTTCCCACTTTTTTGGTCAATACCTCCTCGGCGGAGCTACACAAAGCGTTGAAATGAAAATTCTTGAAATGAAAATTCTTGTGTCCCTGTGAGGACAATCTGATCTATTGTGTGTGTTCAGTTGTGAGCAAATGGAGAATGCTGACAACACTGAGGAACAGAACGTGTCTGTCTGTCTATCCCCTAAGGAATCAGCTCTCAAACTGCCTCTGCCTGTGCTTCCTGGGAGAAACATATTAAATGAAGCACACCAGAGAATTTTTCATTTAGCACAAATCTTTTGTACTCCTTCACAACTGCTCTAGCATCTACCTCACAAATGAGGAAAATTAATGGCAAGTTGCTCTCAGCACAGAGAGCCTGACACTGGGGGAGCGTTTTCTCTGTGCTACAGTGATTTGATTGGGGCTGCTGTCACATGTTATATATGTTATGTTCAACTCAGCACTGAAAAACAGCCTGTGCCATTTGCCCTGCTCTCACAGACAGGGAAGCTCAAACCATTGTTCCTGGTTTGTTTTCAGTTGTTGCAGTCTCCGTGCTGATAATTTAACAGCCTATAACTTAGATGGGGATAACAAGAATATATCTTTGAAATAATACAATGCAAACACACGTGAAAGGACAATTCATTCTGGTTTTACAGTACTGTGCACACTCTGACTTATCCTTTGCCACAGCCATTTACTCTGTAAAGTTCAGTAGTTACTTTGCAGTATATATGGGCTTGTTCCATTGTCCCATAAATTAGAGATACCCTTCTGGACTTCAGAGGACTTTGGATTCAGTTTTAGCAAACTTCTCATCTCAAGATCTCAGAGTGTTTTGTAATTATACCTAAGTAAATCTTCACTGTGTCTCATTCTCCTGTAAGTAACAATTCACTTCTCCAGAAGGGAGGGTAGAATTTGAAGGCAGAGAATAAGAGAGGAATGCAAAGCTGGCTGTAGTCCTCTCTGGTGGGTATATGTGCTAAATCTCATTTGTGTTTGCTTTGCTTTTGTTCTCAGACTGAGGAGGAGGACGGATGCTTCAAACATCTGAAGTTCACTTTTCTTGCCTCCATCAAAACAATAGAAATACACCCCCCAAGCTTTAAGTGCAAGGAAAAATCAGTTGCAAACCTGTAACATTTTCTTCAGATCCCGGAAATCTACAAATACTATGGGTTTACAAATGTTTGAAATACTCCTGATAGATCAGGTAGGCTATCAATGCCTGCAGTGTAAATTCCTGGCATGTATCCCTGCCTTAGAGTTGGGAAGCTGAAAGCTCTTCAGTCCTCCCAGGGAATTTTCCAGATTATCTATTATTTCCAGTAACTGTTAGTTTGTTTATTTTACTTGGTGATTCCTTCTCTTCCTACTTTTCTTACAGTCCAGAAATATCTGCATCATGAGTGGATTCCCAGTCCTTAGCTTGCTCATTCTGGGAGTTAAATCATCCGTGTCATTCTATAAGAGTTTCAGTCCTTCTCAGTTTTTCCTTTTGTCTCCTTACAGCTGCACCAGCCACAAGCATCGCCTGATCGAGACCATTCAAGCCCCCTTTTTTAAATTCAACAGCAGTCCGGGTGCTCTTTGGAGTGGTGAATTCTGCTGGCTGACACCACTCCAAAGGAAGAAGAAATTCTTCTCTTGGCCGAGCACTTGTTTATTCTTTTAGCATAAGCTCATGTAAAGAGGAAGGACTGACATTATTTTTGTCACAGTTTTGCCTAATTTGGTAGGACACAGAGGGTTTTCTCAGCACAGAGCCCTGGCTGTGCTAAGCACTGGACACCTATACATGCCTGAGGACAAGTCCCAACCATAAAAATCCCCCCCTTATTAAAACTGAATCCACGAAGGTGTGGGAAAATGTTTCTGTAAGCAAACAGGGTGACTATCATCGTGTGTAAGCTCAATTTCTTCCTTCAGCTCATTGGAAAGTACCCCTGGCAGGGGTCAGGAGGGGAGGGCAGCTCAGGTTTCTCCAGTTTTCCGTGGTGGCTGGGTGCAGAAGTGCCAATGGAGCAGGACGCAGGAGGCACTTCTTGCGACCCTTTCTGCCAATGTGCCTGTCACCTGCAATGTGCCATGGTGGCTTTTCCCCACCCAGTG